GGGATCGGGAGGGAGCGGGGGGCACCGCACCTGGGCGGGGAGGTCGAGGCGCAGCGCGGGGCTTGCGGTACCGGGGTCCCTCCCGTGCGCGTCCGGGGTGGGGGGGGCTCATGCATTGGTGGGAGGGCTGCAATGGGCGCATCGGGGGTCCGGTGCGGTTTGAGGCGGGAGGTGTGTGTGTGTAGTGGGGAGGGGGTTTGTAATGGGGGACTGCTGTGTGGTTGGGAGGGCCCGGTGTGATGGGGCTTTGCGCCGTGCGGGATGGGGGTAGCTGTAGTGGGGGACCCCTGTGCGGGTTTGGGATGGGGGCTGCAATGGGGGGACCCTCCCCTGTGAGAGTTAGGGGGTGGTGCAATGGGGGGGCTCAGTGCGGCGCGAGGAGGGGGTTGCAGTGGGGTGGTTTAGGGGAGGCTGCAATGAGAGTCCCGGTGCGGATGGACGAGGGACTGCAAGGGGGTCCTGCTGCGATTCAGTGTGGGGGCTGCAGTGGGGGACCCCAGTGCGAGTCAGGGGGGCCTGTGCATTACGGGATCCCGGCGGGGTTCGGGGGAGGGGAGACCCATGCAGTGGTGTGGTCCTGCAGTCTAGAGGGGTCCCTGTGCAGTTCGGGAGGGCCCTGCAATGTCGGGGGTCCCGGTGCTTTTGGGGCGTCCCGGTGTGGTTTGGCGGGGCCCTGGAATGAGGAGCCCCGGTGCGGTTCGGGGGTGGTCGCTGCGGGTGGGGGGGTCCCGGTGCGATGGGCTTTGCTTCGTGCAATGGAGTGGGGTGGTCTGTGCAGTAGGGGGGGAGGGGGGGTCCTGCAATGTCGGGGGGGCCCGTGCGCCAGCGCGGCGGCAGCTCCGCAGCGCTGCCCGTTTGCGGCGGGGGGGCCGAGGGGGCCCCTCTGCACCGCGCCGGGCTCGGGGCTGCCGGCAGCCTGCGTGCCCTGTCCCTCCCCTCCATGGGGTCCGTCCCGCCGCGAGGCCCCCATGCGTAGCACCCCCCGACTCCCGTCTCGGGGCAATGCTTCGGTTTTGGGGGTGCTGCAGCACCAGGGGCCTCGTGGTGTGTGGGGCAGCCACAAGTGTGTGTGTGTCCCCTCTACCCATGTCCTTATGGGGGTCCCACCCGAGTCCTTTTGGGGTGGCACCGTCAGGGGATACTTCCCTGCCATCTCCCCATGGGCTCCCCCTTTGTGTGTGTGTCCCCCCCCCTCTTTCCCTGCAGAGCTTTGTGTAATGCTGCCGACCTCCCCAAGTCCCCTCTGTCCCCCCCGGTTCCTTCTAGGGGTGCCTACAGGTACCCCCATCCCTGGGGGCAGCAGAGCAGAGCAGGGCCACATCCTGTCACTGGCGGGTGCTCAGGGGCTGGAGAGGGGGCTTGGTGCTGCCTTCAGCCCTCCTCTCACTTGGTACTGGGGGGGATTTTGGGGGTCCTGGGGTGCTGACAGGGCGCTTGGTCCCGTAGGGCTCCCGGGCGGCGTGGGCACAGCCGCAGTGCCCCGGGCGGCACTGACAGGCTCGCCGGACACGTGCCTCTCTGCACCCCCTGGGCACCCACCACCCACCATGGATCCCCAGAGCGACACAGGTGAGCCCCGGGGACCCCAGGATGGGAGTGTTACCCTCTGCCAGGTGCCGGTCACAGCTGTGTTCCCGCTGCACATCGTTGTATCTCCACTGTGTCCCCGAAGCCCCTCGCCACGGGATGTTGGGGTCCCACAGGGTGCTGTGGCAGTGTCCCACCCACCATGGCGCGTCTGTGCCCGCCGCCGTGTGGGTGTTACCGTGCCAGACACCTGGGGGCGGGGGAGGCCATGGGGGTTGTGCCAGCCGCCCCCCTCCCCCGGGTATCCCAGGCCATGCCAGGTATCCCCCTTCCCAGTTTTCCCAAACCCCCCAGCATTTCTCACGCCCTGGGGAGGCTGAGGCACGGCTCCTGTCACCGCCATGGCGTGGCCCACGTGCGGCTCTTTGCGCGGGGTCCCTGCGGTGCCACGCATGGGGACAGCTGTGGTGACCACGAGGGCCATGCCCGCGCTGTCCTGGCTCCTGCTGGCTCCCCGGCAGAGCCACCCTGTAATTATACCAGTGGGAACTCTGGCAACATGTGGGGGGGGGGGTGTATGTCCTCCCCACCTCCCCAGATAGGAACACACCGCACTGCCAAGCCCCGCGTGCTCCAGAGGGGGAACCTGAGGCACAAGGGCGGTGTCGGAGACCCATGTACCCCTGGATGGACTTGCCGCCAGTTGAGGACGGGGCGGGTGTGTCCCCTCTGCCCCCAAACAGCCCTGGTTGCCGCCGGCCGGTATTTTTGGAGCGGCCGCAGGGCTGGAGCGTTGCCCGGTTGTGCCTGGCACGGGGCTGGCACGCGGCGTGGTGGCACGGGGACACGGTGGCACAGGGACACAGCCTGCCCGCCTCTGCCACCCCCAAGGCGCTTTGCTCGGGGTCACCCTCCTCACTGTGGCTTTGGGTTTGCCTCTGGGAAGGGGGTTTGGGGACCCCCTGCAGGTGCTGTGACTCTCCGGCTGCTATGATGAGTTGGACAGGTCTCAGCTGGGCTGGGTCAATCACAGGGATGTGGCAGAGCCCATCCCTGAGCCCGGGGGTCCCCAGTCACCCCTTGGGGGGCTCTGTGCCCCTGGGGCTCTCCAACTGCACCCTTTTCCCATGCTCATCCCAAAACCAGGCGGTGTCCTGTGGGTGCTGGTACCATCCCCGGGTGCAGCCCCCTGCCCCCCATCTCTTCCATCATGCCTGGGGGTCCCCACTATTCCCCCCTCATCTCCTAGAGGACCCCCTCATCCCCCAGATGTGCCATCACCTCTGGATGGGGCTCTATGGGGAGCCAGGAAGGGGAGCTGGGAGCTGGAAGCTGGAATGGGGGTCTGGCCACAGGAAAGGAGTCCAGGAACCGGGAAGGGGGTCCAGAAGACAAGAGGGCCCATTCCCGCGGCCTCCTGCCCGCTGGCAGCACCAGAAATAGCTGGGCTGACGTCAAGCCCCAAAGCACCCCGGGGGGGGTGGATAGCGGGACGGGGGGTGTCCCAGAAATATCCCGGCTATTAAAAGTCTTGGCTTGGGATTAACGTGATGGTAAATAAACATGGTGGCTGCCGGGGGGTTACACATGGCTGGGACACTGGGGTGGTCACCATTCCCAAAAGGGGAGTCCTCACACCTCAGCCCATTGTCACCCCCTGCTCCGGTTTGTCCCCGTGGAGCTGCTTCGGGACACTAATCCCGTGGGAAGTGTGCTGAGTTGGCATCTGTGTCCCCCGCGCACCTCTTTCCCCGGGGAGGTCTTGTTGGGGGGAGTCAGAGGGTCCTGGGAAGGGGGGGAGGTGTCGTTTGTTTTCATTTGCCCAAAGCGGGGACTAATCCCCCTCTGCACATCCCAGATTTTATTCCCGGCAGCACTGATGCGGATTAACGTCCCTGGCAATTAGGGGGATGTGGAAAGGGGTGTGGGATGGGAGGGGTATTGTGGGGATCCCAGGACCCCCACGGCCCCCCCATGCAGGGCAGCCCCTGTACCCTGTCCCTGGGGTAGTTGGGGTGCAACTGGGTGTTGGGGGGGGCACAGCACACCCCATTCTGCAGGATCTCCTGTGACACACCCCCCCCCAGCACAATTCCCTATTTATAGCCAGCTCCTCCTGTGCACCGGCTATTTCCAGGTGCTGGAGAGAATAGCCTGGATACGGAGGGGGGGGGGCATGGAGGGGACTGTAGGTGAGGTGGGGCCCCTAAGCCCTGCTCTGCCTGGAATGGGGAGGGGAGAACAGTCTACATCCTCTCCCATTCCCCTAAACTCCAAGGGATGCTCTGTGGCCCTCATCTCCCCATCCCCCACTGTTGAGGGGGTGATGGAGGGGTGGGTTTTGGGCTGCATGCACCCCCCAGCCCCTCTGTGGTCCCATTCAGGGGGGGACACAGGTGTCTTTCTGCAGAGGGGGGGTCTGGCCGTGAGCCCCCGCTGGAACTCATGCCCCGCACCCCGCTGCACGCCCCAGGTGAGTGGGAGAGCCTGGCTCCCTGTGCCTCCAAAACCCTCTGATGTCCCCCCCCGCAAAACCCTCTGACATCCTCTCCAAAACCCTGTGACGTCCCCTCTCAATACCTGGTGACATCCCCCCTCAAAACCTAGTGACATCCCCTCTCAAAGTCCGGTGACATCCCCCTGCAAAAGTCAGTGGTGTCCCCCCGGTGAGGTGTGAGTGTAGCAGGGTGAGGGGTGTGCAAGGGGAAGAGCTGCTCTCCTTGCGTGAGTGTGCACAGGTGTGCAAGGGGAGAGCTTGTCTTTTGACACTAGTGTGTCGGGGGAGAGCTGCAGCTGTGCAAGGGATAGAGGTACTTTCCTTCCATGAGAGTGTTCAGCTGTGCAAGGGGTAGAGTTGGTCTCCTTGCATGAGAGTGTTCAGGTGTGCAAGGAGGAGAGCTGCTCTTTTTGCATGAGTATGTAAAGGTGTGCACAGGTGTGTTGGGGAGAGCTACGTGTGTGTACAGTTGCGTAAGGGGTAGAACTGCTCTTGTTGCACAGTTGTGTTCAGGCATGCAAAAGGGAGAGCTGCTCTCCTTGCACAAGTGTGCATGGATATGTAAGGGGGAGCTGCACTTCTTACATGGGGGTGCAAGGCAGAGAGCCACTCTCCTTGCACAGAAGTGTGCAAAGGGACCAGCCCTCCTTGCACCAGCGTGCATGGGGTTGGCAATTCTTGCACAAGTGCACATGGGCGTACAATGGGGTAGAGCTGCTCTGCTTGCATATGTGTGTACAGATGTGCAAGAGTAGAAATCACTGGCTTGCCACGAGTGTACATGTGTGCAAGAGGAAGAGCTGCTCTCCTTGCATGAATGCGCACAGGTGTGCAAGAGGAAGAGCTCTCCTTGCACAGGTGTGCAAAGGGAGTGACTGTTGTTGCACAAGTGTACATGAGTGTGCAAAGGGAAGACCACCCCCCCCTGCAAAAAATGTATGTGCAGGGACAGGTGTGCAAAGGCCAGGTGCCCCCAGCCCTAGGGGTGCTGCCCCCATGGTGGGGAAGTATCAGGGAGTCCCTGGGAGGGACCCCAGTCCCTGCTGTGTCTTCATTCCTTGGGACACCCCCCCCCCTCCATGCCCACAAGGAGCTGCTGGGGGGACCCTTCATTTTGGGGGGGCCCTGGGCACTGAGGGGTTAAGCAACACCTGTCCATAGGGGTTGGAGGGGGTACGGGGTGGGGGTCCCTTCATAGGGTAGGGTGATGGCCCTGGCCTGGTGCCAGCCCAAAGCCACCACTGACCACAAAGTGTCAGGTTGGCTCCTCTGGGGTCTATTTGCTGTCCCCTCCCTGGGTGCTGCTCCCTCTTCTCCCTCCTGAAAGGGCTGGGTGCTGACCCCCCCTCCCCCATTACACCCCAACACCCACCGGGGGCCGTTGGTTAGCCCCCAAACTGGGGTGTGTCAGGTCTAGGGGGTGCAGGAGTGCCCCAATGCACTCCCCTAAAATATGTTCCTCCAGGAGAAACAAACCCCCTCCCCCAACCCCAAGAGTGATTTGGGGTGGGGAGGGGGGCTGGGGGTTCATCTCTTGCATGTTAAGGCGGGGCTGGCACTGACTTGGGACTGGTTGTGTCTGGGCGTGCTGGTTACTTTGGGGGGGTGCTGCCTGGTTTAGGGGGCTGGCTCATACTAGGGGGACTGATTAGTACTGGGGAGAGAGGGGGCTGGTTGGGATATGGGGGGGTACATCTTGGCTTGGGGTCTGGTTGGTATATTAGGGATTGGCACTGGGAGGGACTGGTTATCTTGGGGGGTGCTGCCTGGCTTGAGGGGCTGGCTCATACTGGGGGAGACTGGGAGGGAGGGTTGGTTAACACTGGGGTGCTACTTGGTGTGTTGGGGGCTGGTTGGCATCAGGGGGAGGTGGTTGGTTTGAGGGGATGCTGATTAGCTTGGGGGAATGCTGTCAAGCTTGGGGCAGGCTGGTTCATACTGGGGAGGGGCTGGTTAGTACTGGGGAGGGGGGACTTGTTGGTTATGGGGGTGCCAATTAGCTTGGGGGCTGGTTGGTATTGGGGGACTGGTTGATACTGGAGGGGCTGGTTGGTATATGGGGAGACTGGCTGGCACTGGGGGGACTGGTTAGTTTGGGGAGATGCTGCCTGTTTTGGGGGGCTGGCTCATACTGGGAGGGGGTGGTTGCACTGGGGAGGTGGGGCTGGCTGATTTGTGGGGGGAATGGTTGGCATTGGGGGGGCTGATTAGTTTTGGGGGACAAGCTGCCTGGCTTGGGGGGCTAGTTAGCTTGGGGAGGGTACTGCCTAGTTGGGGGGCTGATATTTGGGGGGCCTGGTTGGCACTGGGGGTGTGCAGCAGGGTACGGTGCACGGGGGATTGGCAGGTTTTGGGGGTGCTGGCTGCCCTCCAGGGACGCTGGCATGCCCCCGGGGGTGGGGGTCTGTCAGAATGGGGCGGGAAGCTGGGGCTGTCTCACCTCCGCGCACGGTGACGTCCATGGGTCCGTCCGGGCACACGTCAGTGCCCGACATGCAGCCGCGCCAGGTTGGGAGGGCTGCGGGGAGGGAAGGTGTGGGGAGGCGCATTAACATTCAGCGCGTGCCCCCCGCCCCCGCCTTCCTGTTTGCGTGGGGGAGGGGGAGGGCTCAAGGGGGGCTGGCCCAGACGCTGAGTCCCCTCCCCGAGTCCTTTGCTGATGGAGGTGGTGGTGGGAGGGAGGATATCTGTGCCCCTCGGTTTTCGCTGGGGAGTTTAAGGGGGATGTTTGGGGATGGGGGGCCTCGGTCTTGCCCTCTTCCCCCCCTCCGCCCCCCCGGTTACCCTTGGGTTGGTTGTTGTGTGTTGCAAATGCAGGAGCTTGCATTGGGGGGACCCCCATGTGGTTTTGGTTTTTTTTTGGCGTGGATGGAGGGAGAATCCCGGGCTAATCCAGGAGTTTGGAAGCTGGGGAGAGACCCCCAAGGGCTTTATGGGAGAGGCTGATCACTGACACCCCTCCCTCCTCCTCCCCCCGGCACCCTCAGGTACCCCTGAGCCATCCCCTCCCATCCCCCTCGTCACTGGGAATGCCCGGCTTCTTCCCCATCCCTGGGACACCCTCAAACTGTTCCCAGCTACCCTCCCCACCCTGGGACACCCCAAAACTGCACTGGGTTGACACTCCCATCTCTGGAACACCCCTATACTGTCCCTTGAAGTTCCACTGCCCCCCATCATCCCTGGGACACTCCCAAACCACTCTCAGTTCTCTCCCCACTGCTGGGACCCCCCAGAACTGCCCTTTAAACAAGTCTTATCCCTCCCATCATTCCTGGTACAACCCCAGCACCCCCTTCCCCCCGCCCCATCATTCCTGAGACACCCCCAAGCTAATCCCATTTCTCCTCTCCATCCCTGGCACACCCAAAAACTGTTCCCAGCTCCCCTCCCTATTCTTAGGACACCCCCAAACTGCCCCCAGCTTTTTCCCCTCTCACTGACACTCCCAAACTGCCCCTAATTCCCCTCCGACATCCCTGGGCACCCCAAAACTGCCCCTTTAAGGAAGTCCCATCAACATTTTTGAGACACCTCCAAGTCACTCCCGTTTCCCTCCCCCATCCTTGAGACACCCCAAAATGCCCCTTAACAAAGTTCCAGCCCTCCTATCATTCCCGGGACACCTGCAAGCCACTGTTGTTTCTCCCCTACATCCCTGGGGCACCCTAAAACCACCCCTTCAACAAGTCCCTGCCCCCACCATACCCCTGGAACCCATTCCCCAGGCTGCTTCCAGCCCAACCTCCCCCCACCGTGACCCGGTGTGGCCCCGCAGGGCCAGAGGGGCCGGGGCTGGAGGCCGCGGGGTTGGACGCGGGGCTGGCAACGGCACGGGAGCAGCAGCTGCAGCGGGAGCTGGTGGCCCTGAAGCAGCAGCAGCAGCTCCAGAAGCAGCTGCTCTTCGCCGAGTTCCAGAAGCAGCATGAGCACCTCACACGCCAGCATCAGGTCCAACTCCAGAAGCACCTCAAGGTATGAGGGGGGGGAGCCTTGGGGGGTGGACTGGGGGGATGGAGCTGTTGGGGGAGATACTGAGGGTGGTGGAGTCATGGGAAGGGATATGGGGGGTGACGGAGCTATTGGAGGGGGGATACCGCAGCTGATGGAGCAATGGGGGGATGAAGGAGGGAGGTTGGGGGAAGGGAGATTTTGGAGATCACTGTTCTGGGGTGATGCAGCTATTGGGGAGGATACTGGGGGTGATGGAACTCTTGGGGAAGATGCTGGGGGTGATGCAGCTGTTGGGAGGGAGGTTGGAGGAATGGAGATGTGGGGGATCACTGATCGGGGGTGATGCAGCTCTTAGGAGGTGATTGAGGATGATGGAGCCATTGGGCTAGGTACCGGGGGTGATGGAGCTATTGGGGGGAATACTGGGGGTGATGGAGATGGGGGGTATCACCTGTCTGAGGTGCTGGAGCTGTGGGAGGAGGATAGTGGGGGTGATGGAACAGTTGGAGGATGATGGAGCGGTTGGTGTGATGGAAATACTAGGTATCACTGATTTGGAGTGGTGGAGGTGTTGGAGATGATAGCAGGGGTGATGGGGTTGAGGGGGGTGATGGAACCAGGGGGGTGATACTGGGGCTGATGGAAATAAAAGGCAATAGAGCTATTGGAAAGATATTGGTAGTGATGGAGGTAAGAGATATCACCTGTCTGAGATGATGGAGCTGTTGGGGGGATATTGGGGGTGATGGCATTGTTGGGGGTGAGACTGGGGGTGATGAAGCCACAGGGGGGTAATGGAGCTATTGGGGATAATGGAACTGTGGGATAACATTTGTCCGGTGTGATGGAGCTTCTGGGAGGGTTGCTGGGGGTGATGGAGCTATTGGGGTTGAGGGAACTGTCAGGTATTGCCTCTGTGGGGTGATGGAGCTGTTGGGAGTGAGGTGGTGGGGGGATGGAGATGGGGGGGTATCTGTAATCTGGGATGATGGAGTGATTGGGGGGTGATTGGGGGTGATAGAGCCACTGAGGGGATTTGGGGTGCCAGAGCCATGGGCCATCATGTTCCTTGGGGTGCTGGAGCTGTGGGTTGTCATCCTGGCATACCAAAGCCAGGTGGGGAGAAGGGGGCAGGGCAGTGCATCCCTCCGGTGTGGTTGTGCTCCGGGAGTCCCATCCCTGTCCCCCTATGCCCCCCTACCCTGCAGCAGCAGCAGGAGGCCCTGGCCGCCCGCCGGCAGCAGGAGCTGGAGCAGCAGCGGCAGCGGGAGCGGCAGGAGCTGGAGCAGCAGCGCCTGGAGCAGCTCCAGAGCCTGCGCCCCAAGGACAGGGGCCGTGACAGTGAGCGAAGGAGCATCGGGGGGCTGGGGGCATCTGGAGGGCTAGGGAGGGGGCTGGCAGCAATTGGGGCTGGGGGTGAGTGGGGGTAATGGGAGGCAGAGGGCTCCGGGGGGCAGTGGGACTTGGGGAATGGAGGCAGTTGAAGCTGGGGGGTGTTGTGGACTGTGGGGCTGTAGGCTGGATTTGGGAGAATGGGAGGCAACAGGTTCTGGGGGGAAGTGGGGCTGGGGGCATCTCTATGGGGGCTGTGGGAGTGGGTAGTGATGGGGGCTGGGGAGTGGGTGGGGGGCTGGGAGGGGAGTGGGCTCTGGGTGGGGACAGTGGGACTTCACAGATCTTGGGGGAACAGGTGGCAGTTGTGAGGCTGGGGGCAGTGGGGACATGGGGGGCTGTGGGGGGAAGGGGGCAGTGGGGCTGGGTGCATTGGGGGTCTGTGGGAAATAGGGGCTGGGAGCATCTGGAGTTGGGGTGCTAGGAGCTGGTTTGGGGGGAAGGGAAGGCAATGGAACCTGGAAGGGCTGAGGGCTCTGACAGGGACTGGTTGCAACAGGGAGTGGGGGAGCAAGGGAGGTCTGGGGGTAATGGGGTCTGGGGTGGGATGGGGGGCTGTGGGGTGCATTGGGGGCACTGGGGACAGTGTACTCAGAGGGGACGGTGGGACTGGGGGTGCTGAGGGCATCTTGGGGCTGTAGTGGGGATGTACTGCCTCTCTGACCCCCTCGTGCCACCCAGGTGCCATTGCCAGCACTGAGGTGAAGCTGAAGCTACAGGAGTTCCTGCTCAGCAAGACGAAGGAACCGGGCCCTGGCCCTCCCAACCATTCCCTCCCCCAGCACCCCAAATGTTGGTAGGTGACCCACAGGACCCCCATAAACCACCTCGTGGGGGAAACCCAGGTGTCCTAGCGGGGTCTCTGCCACCTTCCCCCCCTGGCCTAGGGCTCACCACACCTCGTTGGACCAGAGTTCCCCCCCGCAGACTGGCAGCCCAGGGACCCCCCCATCCTACAAGCTCCCCCTCCTCGGCACCTATGAAGGCCGGGATGACTTTCCTCTCCGGAAAACTGGTGGGTGCCAGTGGGCGGGGAGGGCATGATGAACCTCCAGGGGAGGTGACACCTTTTGGGGTTACACCTTTTGGGGTGACACCTTTTGGGGTCCCCCCAGCCTCGGAGCCCAACCTGAAGGTGCGGTCGCGGCTGAAGCAGAAGGTGGCGGAGCGGCGGAGCAGCCCCCTCCTGCGGCGCCGTGATGGCTCCGTGCTCAGCGCCTTCCGCAAGCGCCACGTCGAAATCACCGGTGTGTCCCCCAGGGGGCACGTGTGATGGCATGGGCCACGTGGGAGGTCGTGGGTAGGGGACCTGCCACCTGCCTTTCCCCAGGTCACTTGGCGGTACCCTGGAGTGCCCAGGAGGGACCTGCATCCCTGTCCTTGTGGCTGCACGGGATTGTGGGACACGTGTGCTGCTGGACACATGGACATGTGTGCTTGGACGCTCACTGTGCAGCAGGAGTGTGCATGTCTGTGCACACACTTGAGCATGTGTATGCTTCTGCACATCTGTGCAACATGAGGACACTGATGCTGCGCATATTTGAAGCATGAGTGTGCACATCATATGTGTGCTTGTGCAACAGGAGTGCACTCACTGCTGCTGCACACGCTTGTGGAACGTGTGCACGCACACGTGCTTGTTCCTGTGGGAGATTTTTCACATACGCTTGAGCAACACACATCCCCCCCAAGGCAAATGCTTGTGCAACAGGAGCGCATGTCTGTGCATGCACTTGTGCACACACTTGTGCATGTGTGTGCTTCTGTACATCGTGCTTGTGCTGCAAGAGAGCACAGTGCTGCGTCAGCTGTGTGCGAAACATGCACACGTGGTTGTGCAAAGTGAGTGCATGCATGCTTCTGCATGTGTGTGCTTGTGCAACAGGAGGGCACAGTGCTGCTGCACACGTGTGTGGAACATGTGCGCAGTGGTGCGCACATACTTGTTGCTGTGTGAGTTTTTTCATATGTATGATTGTGCGACATGCGTGCACATGCACACTTATGGACACACTTGTACAACATGAATGCACATCTGTACACACGTGTGTGCTTCTGCACATGCTTGTGCAGCACGTGTGCTTGTGCACGTGTTTGCAGCAAGTGTGCATGACACGCTTCATGACATGCTTGTACAATAGGAGTGGGTGTACTGCTGCTGCACACGCTTGTGGAACACATGCACACACATGTGCTTGTTCCTGTGGGAGATTTTTAACGTGTGCTTGCACAGCACTTGTGTACACACGTGTGTCTGTGTAACACGAATGCACACATCTGCACACGCACACATGTGTGCTATTCTGTGTATGTTCCTATACAACACAAGTGCACACATTTTCCTGCACACACTAATCCATGCATGTGCTTTTGCGGTGGTGCAATACATGTGCACAGGTGTGCTGGTTCGGCTGGTTCCCTTGCACACCTTTGTGTGCACTGGGGGCGCTATCGCCCTCTCCCCGAGGTGGGTGGGGATCCCTGTGTCCTGTCCCTGTGTGTGACACACATGTGTGCTACAGTGTCCTCGGTGTGCAGCAGTGCCCCAGGATCGGGGCCCAGCTCCCCCAACAGCTCCCACGGTGCCCACAATGGCCTGGCCGCCTCCGTCCCCAACATCCATGCTGAGGTACGGCCTGAGGGGAGGGAGGGAGGGGCACACGTGTGCAGGTGTGTGCTGGGGGTGTGCTCAAAGCGTACATGTATGTTTAGGTGTGTGCTGGAGATGGGCTCAGGGTGCACGTGTATTTAGGTGTGTGCTGGGGGTGTGCTTAGGGTGCACACATGTTCAGGTGTGTGCAGCCAGCGTGTTTGGGTGCACACGTGCTCAAGCGTGTGTAGCCAGTGCATGCATGTTCATGGTACACATGTGTAATCAGGAGTGTGCTAGAGGTGTGGTCAGCATGCACGTGTGTGTGCAGGTGTGTGCTATGGGTGTACTCAAGGTGCACACGTGTCCTCAGGCGTGTGCTGTATGTTTAGGTGCACGTGTGTGCAGGTGTGTGCTGTTAGCAGGCCCAGTGTGAGTGGCACATGCTGGCACAGACGTGCAGAAAACATGTCCTGGTGTGCCCTGGTTCAGATGTGCTTCTGGCGTGTTTTGCCTTGGTACATGCATGCTGATGGCGTGACCTGCCCCCTACACATGTGCTGACGGCATGCTGTGCCCTGGCACACGTGTGCTGATGGTGTGTTGTGCCATGTGGTGCCGCAGCAGCTCCTGCCCCAGCCCCATGCCCTGGCCCTGGACGGGGCCCAGCTCAGCCTCTACACGTCCCCATCGCTGCCCAACCTGTCCCTGGGGCTGCAGGCCACTGTCACTGTCACCAGCGCCCACCTCCCCGTGAGTGGGGGGCATGGGGACCCTCTGAGGGCACGGGGGGTGTGGGGACCCCATGGAGGGGTGGCACAGGGACCTGGAACCCTAGGGAGGGAATATGAGGACCCTCTTGAGGGCATGGGGACAGGAGGACTCCACAGGGGGTGGCACAGGGTCATAGCACCCCATGGGGAGGATGTGGGGACTCCCTGGGGATATGGGGACTCCACGGTGGGTGGCATGGGGACCTGGCACCCCGTAGGGACTGTGGGGGTATCCCGAAGAGGGATGGTACAGGGACCCCATTAGGACCAGGAATCCTGTGGGGAGGGATGTGGGAACACAACAGGGAGTGGAATGGGGACCTGATACCCTTTTGTGGGAGGATGTGGGGCACCCATGGTGACCATGTGGGGACCTCATGGGAGTGGCACTCCACGGGGTGGTGTTAGGACTCCCAAGTGCCACCCACATCCCCTCAGGCGTCCCCCAAGCTGTCGCCGCAAGCCGAGGGTGAGCGCCCTGGAGTGCCCCCCCTGTGCCCTGGGACTGCCCTCACCGGGAAGTTCCTGAGCACATCCTCAATCCCGGGATGCCTACTGGGGGTTGCCCTGGACGGGGACCCCCAGGCCAGCCCCCCATCTCTGCTGCAGCACGTCCTACTGCTGGAGCAGGCGCGGCAGCAGAGCACCCTCATCGCTGGTGAGGCCCCACTTCCCCGAGTCTCACCCCGGTTTCCCCTCAGTCCTTCCTCAGTTCCCCCTCAGTTTCCCTGCAATCCTTCCCCAGTTCCTTCCCCAGTTTTCTCTCATTCCTGCCCGTTTCCCCCCAGTCCTCCCCCAGTTTATCCCTAGTTCTGCCTCAGTTTTCTCCCAGTTCTTCCATGGTCCCCTTGCCCAGTCCTGCTCCCCAATTCCTTCTCAGTCCTGATCTACTTTTCTCTGTTCTCCCCCAGTCCTCCTTTAGTTCTTCCCCAGTCTTTCTACAATTTCCTCCCTGTCCTGCCCTGATCTCCCACTAGTCCTTCCCTAGTTCACCTCTAATCTTGTCCCAGATGCCCTCTGTGCTCCACTTTCCCCCGCAAGTCCTTCCCCAGTTCTCCCCCAGTCCTGACCAGTTATCTCCAGTCCTACCCTGATTTTCTTCCAGTCCCTCCCCAGCTTCCTCCCAGTCCTTCCCCAGTTCCCCCCACATTCTTTCCCCAGTTTCCCCTGCCTACAGCCCCCCACTCTCATCACCCCCAGCTGCACTGGGGAGGTCTGGGGGGTATCGGGTGTTCCACTGACCCGGTGCCCCCCAGTGCCCCTGCACGGCCAGTCCCCACTGGTGACAGGGGAGCGCGGAGGGGGTCCCCGTGGGAACAAACTGCCTCGGCACCGGCCCCTGAGCCGCACCCAGTCATCCCCGCTGCCGCAGAGCCCCCAGGCCCTGCCCCACGGCCCCCTCCAGCACCACTTCCTTGACAAGCAGCAGATCCAACTGGGCAAGGTGGGCTGCCCTGGGTCTGGGGGTGGGCATGGGGTGGTTATGGGGTGAGAGTGGGCTGGCAGTGGGGTGAGCATGGGGTGTATGTGATGTGGGAAATGGGGTGTGGGGTGGGCATGGGGGGTATGTGGAATGGGAACGGGGTGTGGGGTGTAAGTGGTGTGGGTGTGGGGAATGGGATGGACGTGGGTTGGGCATGGGGTGCGTGTGGTGTGGGGAATGGGGCATAGGGTGTATGTGGTGTGGGGAATAAGGCATGGAATGGTGTGGGCTGGGCGTGGGGTGAGTATGGGACTGGACTTGGGAGGGCGTGGGGTGAGCATGGGGTGTATGTGGGGTGGGAATGGGGCATGGGCTGGGATGTTGGGTAGCCGTGGGCCACCCTGACACACCACTAACTCCACCAAATACAGCTGAGGGGTGTGAGGTTGCAAACGGGGGAAACTGAGGCAAGGGAGGGGAAATTGGAGACAACTGGGAAGAGGAGGGTATGGGGTGGCTATGGGGTGACTGTAGGGGATGGGGTGGGCATGGGCTGCATATGGGGTGGGTTCTGAGGGGACCACAGGGTGGGTGTGGAGTTGCTGTAGGGCATGGGGTAGGGCAGACGGGGTATAGGGGTGCAAGGGGTCACTAACGCCGCCCTGCCCCCCAGCTACTCCCCAAGGCGGGGGAGCTGGCACGGCAGCCCCCCACCCACCCCGAGGAGACAGAGGAAGAGCTGACGGAGCAGCAGTCACCCCCCCCGGGCGAGGGGGTCTCCCCCAGCCTTCCCCTCGTCCAGCCCCTCACCCTGATCTTCCCGGAGGCTGGGGACCCCCCGGAGCAGCTGCAGGACCCCGAGGGCTGCCAGGGGCTGGGGGACAGCGGGGACGAGGCTGAGGGCACCAGGGACCCCGATGTCACCGAGGTGGGCATCACCTACAAGCAGGTAAGACTTTGGGGGGGCCCAAATCCCCCCAGACTCCCTAAATGCCCCCACCACGAGCATCCTGTGCATCCTTTGCCCCTGCTCTGCACCCAGCTGTGTGTCCTCCCCTATTTTTGGGGTGATGCCGCAGTGATGACTCGGAAGGGTCGGTGAGTCATCTCCCCCCTCCATCCCCCGTCCCCACCACCCCCGCACTGTGACCCCCCCGTCCTCTGCAATGACTCATCCCCCATCCCCCCTCTTGGCCCTGGGGGCTGATGGAGGGTCATGTTGGGGTATCCCCCCCAGGTGTACCCCGAGGCGTCGCTGCAGCTTTACTCCACACCCCCCTTGGGGGTCTTGGCACTGTCCCACCCAGCCCTTGCCCGCACCCAGTCGTCCCCTGCCAGCGTCAAGCCTCCCATGCCCGAGGGGCCCCCCAAGCACCTCTTCACCACAGGTACAGGGGCAACAGGGGTTGGGGTACCTCTGTCCCTTAGAATTCTTCTGTCCCTTGGGGTTCCATGTCCCTCAGGGTGTCACCTGTCCCGTGGGATCCCCCTGGCCCTGTATCCCGTGGGTGCCCCATCCTGTGGTAGACTCCAGGGATGTCTGTGTCGTCCCACCCCAAATGTCCCATTCCTTGGTGGGGTTGGGGGTGACCCTGTCAAATGGGATCCCCTTGTCCCATGGGGTTCCCAATCTCTCAGGGTGTTTGGGGTCCTGCTGTCCCCTGGAGTTTCCCATCCTTCAGGGTGCCTGTGTCCCAATGAGCCCCTCTCCCGTATGGTTTCCCATCCCTCAGAGTGTCTGGGATTCTCCCTGTCCTACGGGATCCCCCTATCCCCTGGGGTTCCCAATAGCTTGGGGTGCCCAGGTGTCCCCATGTCCCATGGAATCCTTCTGTTCAGGGGTTCCCAATAGCTTGGGGTGCCCAGGTGTCCCCATGTCCCATGGAATCCTTCTGTTCAGGGGTTCCCACTTGCTTGGGGTGCCTGTGGTCTCTCCCTGTCCCTTGGGGCTCCCAGTCCCTTGGGTTGCCCAGGGATCCTCCTATTCCACAGATTTCCCCTGTCCCTTGGGGTTCCCAATTGCTCAGGGTGCCCAAGGGCCCCCATATCCTACGGGATCCCCCTTATTCCATGGGTTCCCCCTGTCCTTTGGGGTTCCCATTCCCTTGGGATACCCATGTTTCCCCCTATTCTACAGATTCCCCCTGTCCCCTGGGGTTCCCAATCCTCTGGGGTGCCCAAGGGTCCCTCAATCCTGTGGGATCCCTCCATCCCCTGGGGTGCCCGTGTCCCCTCAGCACCCCACCCCCAGGGTCATCCACCCTGGGAGGGGGTGCTGGGGGTCCGGTGCCAGGTGTGCTGCTGGCACAGGTGTGGTGTATGACACATTCATGCTGAAGCACCAGTGCACCTGCGGGAACACCACAATCCACCCGGAGCACGCTGGCCGCATCCAGAGCATCTGGTCCCGGCTCCAGGAAACTGGCCTGCTCGGAAAGTGCGAGGTGAGGAGAGGACTCTGTGTTCCAGAGGGGGGCTGGGGTTGGCTTGGGGAGAGGAGGGTCTCACACCTGTGCCCCCTTTCCCAGCGGATCCGGGGCAGAAAGGCAACACTGGAGGAGATCCAGACGGTGCACTCAGAGCACCACACGCTGCTCTATGGCACCAGCCCCCTCAACCGCCAGAAACTGGACAGCAAGAAGCTTCTGGGTGGGTGTTAGGTGTAGAGGTGCCCCTATCCCATGGGATTCCCCTGTCCTATGGGATTCCCAATTGTTTGGGGTGCTCAGAGGTCCCCCTATTCCATGGAATCCTCCCGTCCCCTAGGGTTCCTAATTCTTTGGACTGCCCACGGGATTCCTCAGTGCCATGGGATCCCCCAGTCCCATGAGATCCCGCTGGTGTTCCCAGTCCTTCGGGTTGCCCAGGAGTGCCCCTATTCCTGGGATCCCCCATCCCCTGCAGTTCCCAGTCCTTTGGGGTCCCCAGGGTTGCCCTTATCCCCTGGGATCCCCCTGTCCCCTGGGTTTCCCAATCCTTTGGGGTGCCCAGGGATGCCCCTATCCCTGGGATGCCCCTGTCCCCGCTGTCCCCATCCCACCATGCCGCTCTATCCCTCAGGTCCAATCACGCAGAAGACGTACGCGGTGTTGCCGTGTGGTGGCATCGGGGTGAGTCTGGGGGGCAGAGGGGGTCTCTGGGGTGGGCTGGCCCTGCTGACTCCCAGTGTCCCCCTCCAGGTGGACAGTGACACAGTGTGGAATGAGCTGCACTCGTCGAGCGCGGTGCGCACAGCCGTGGGCTGCCTGCTAGAGCTGGCCTTCAAGGTGGCTGAGGGCGAGCTCAAGGTGAGCGTGGTCTTGCAAATTCACCTGGGCTGTGACAGTCCTTGTGCACACTCATATGTATGTGTGTGGTCTTGCAAATTCACCTGGGCTGTGACAGTCCTTGTGCATATTCATATATATGTGTGTTGCCTTACACACTTACCTGGGCTGTGACACTTTTGTGCATATGTGTGCTCCTTGTACACTCATTTGGGGTGTGACAGGCTCTGTGAATACTCGTGTGTGTGTGTACTGCCTTACACACTCATCTGAGGTGTGACAATCCCTGTGCACATTCATGTGCATGTGCTGCCTTCTTGCACACTCCTCTGGGGTGTGGTAACCCTTGTGCAAGCTCTCGTACATGTGTGTTGCTTTTTTGCACACTCCCCTGGGGCGAGATGGTCCTTGTGCAAGGCTGAGCACATAGGTGCTGCTCTCTTGCGCACTCCCCTGAGTGCAGGGCTCATTGTGCCAGCTCATGTGCAGACATGCTGCCTTCCTGCATGTGTCCCTGCCTGTCCCAAGTGTCCCTTTGTCCCTCTGTGTCCTGCAGCACACATGTCCCTTTGTGTCCCACACATGTTGCTTTGTGTCCCCACCCCATGTGTGTCACTCTGTCCCCGCACTACATGTTCCTTTGTGTCCTTAAACCACTTCTCAGCATTGCAGTCACAGAATATTCTGAGTGGGAAAGGACCCACAGGGATCATTGAGTCCAACACTTCAAGTGGATGGCCCTGTGTGTTCCTCTCTGTCCCACACGTCTCCCTGTGTCCCATGCGCCTTCCGTTGTCCTTATGTCCCACATGTGTCCTGTCTGTCCAACACACATCCCTTTCTGTCCACAGAACGGCTTCGCTGTCATCCGCCCCCCGGGCCACCATGCTGAGGAGTCCACGGCCATGTGAGTGTGGGGACAGGGCTGGGACCCTTGCCCAGGGAGGGACCCCACAGTGTCTTGGGTATCACCCACCACTGAATGAATGTCCCCTGTCCTTCATCCTCTTTTGTCCCCAGGGGCTTCTGCTTCTTCAACTCAGTAGCCATCTCAGCCAAGCTGCTGCAACAGCGGCTCAGCGTGGGCAGGATACTCATCGTGGACTGGGTATGGGGGACAGGGGGACCCCTCCACAGGTGATGGGGACCCCGTGGTTGGGTGTGTGGGGGGTCCCTGACATCACAGATGCACCCCCAGGACATCCACCATGGGAATGGGACCCAGCAGGCCTTCTACAGTGACCCCCATGTGCTCTACATTTCCCTGCACCGCTACGATGACGGCAACTTCTTCCCAGGCAGTGGGGCCCCTGAGGAGGTACAGGAGGGTTTAGGGGAGGGGGTGGAGGTCCCCCTGTGCCCCCCTGGCCCTGGATGTGGCACAGGGAGTCACCTGTGGCTGTGCCTCAGGTGGGCAGTGGGCTGGGAGTGGGCTACAACATCAACATCGCCTGGACCGGTGGCGTCGACCCCCCAATCGGGGACGTGGAGTATCTGACCGCCTTCAGGTGGGGGTCTGGGGGGAGCCTGAGCCTTTGGGGGTTCCCTGGGCTCCGGGGATGTTGCTGGGTCCTGGTGAAACGGTCTCCATGAACTTGGGGGGGTTTCTGCACCCTGAGGAAGGTCCCTGCACCCTTGGGGGGTTCCTTGTGTCCTTAGGGGGATTCCTATGTCTTGGGGAGAGGGTTCCTGTGCCCCTTTAGTGGGGCCTGTATGTCCTGGGTGGTGGCCTCATGCCTTTGGAGGGAGTCCCTGCATCCTGGGAGTGGACCTGTGCCCTTGGGGAGGGGTCCCTACACCCCAGTCCCCATTTCCTGGGAGTTCCCTACACCCTAGGAAGGGTCCCTGGATTAGTGGGGGCGGGGAGTGTGTGTCCCCACACTGTGGGGGAATCCCTGTGTCCTTAGGGAGGTCTCTGTACCCTGGAAGTGGTCACTGCCTCCTTAGGGTTCCCTACACCCTGGGGAGAGTCCATGCACTCTTGGGGGTTCCCCACACCCCAGAGGGGATCTCTGTGTCCTGGGGGCGGTTGTCCCAAATCCCAGAGGATCCCTGTGTTCTGGGGGAGGCTCCTGTCCCCTGGGAGGATCCCAGTGTCCTGTGGGGGAGTGGTCCCTGCATCCTGGGGGTTCCCTGTACCGTGGGAAGGATCCTTGCACCTCGGGGGACTCCCCACAGCCCTTGGTGGGGGGGGGGGGTCCCCTTGCCCCTGGCTGACCCCATGCCTCCCAGGACGGTGGTGATGCCCATCGCCAAGGAGTTCTCCCCAGACGTGGTGCTGGTCTCTGCTGGCTTCGACGCCGTCGAGGGCCACCTGTCCCCGCTTGGTGGCTACTCCGTCACCGCCAAGTGTGAGTGGGGTCCGGGGACATCCTGGGCTGGGGACCCCGGCCCCCCAACCACCCCTCACCCTCCTCCCCGGTGCCCCCCAGGTTTTGGGCATCTGACAAAGCAGCTGATGATGCTGGCGGAGGGCCGGGTGGTGCTGGCACTGGAAGGGGGCCACGACCTGACGGCCATCTGCGATGCCTCCGAGGCTTGTGTTTCCGCCCTGCTCGGCCTGGAGGTACCCTCGGGGACACCCCAACCCCTGGGGACCCTCCCCAACCCCTGGGGACTTCCCCCGGGCGCAGGGTGTATTGGAGTGCACACCCCATGTTGTGCCTCAGTTTCCCTGCATGGGTTGGTGAGGGGCTGTGGTTCCATCCCTGCTCTCTCTGGGGAGGGTCTGGGGGTACTGGTGGCAGTTTTGGGGGACTGATGTATGTCTACCCTCTGCAGCTGGAGCCCCTGGATCTGTCCCTGCTGCAACAGAAGCCGAATGTGAATGCAGTGGCCACACTGGAGAAGGTCATCGAGATCCAGAGTGAGAACAGGGGGAAGGGGCGGACCTTGATGAGGTTCCTTGGGGGATCTGCAGGTCTGATTCTGTCTTGGTGGGACACAGAAAGGTCACAGGGGTACTCCAGTGGGGCAGCCCTGGCTTTGTCCTTGGCGTGGGAGGAGCTGGAGGGCCTCCAGTGCTGCCACTGGGATCCTGAGGGGGTCCCCAGGGCTCTCTCTTTTGCAGGGGGACCAAGAAGGTTTCCTAGGGATGTCCCTGACAGGGGGGTCTCGGGGTCCCCCAGGTCTGTCCCAGCATGGGGTTTGTGGGAGTCCCCTGGGTCTGCCCCTGCTGTGGGAGTCTTAGGGGGGTCCATCACAGCCATGGGGGGGCTTGGGGACCCCTTCGGTCTGTTCCAGTCCTGGGGGTCCCCAGGGTCTGTCCCAGCATGGGCTTCCTGGGGATCCCTTGAGTCTATCCCAGCCATGTGGGTCTTGGGGGTCCCCCCGTCTGTCCCAGCTGTTGGAGTCTCAGGGGTCCCCTGAGTCTGTTCCTGTCCTGGGGGTCCCCTGAGTCTTTTCCTGTCCTGGGGATCCCCTGAGTCCATCCCAACCATGGGATCCCTGGGGTCCCCTGGGTCTCTTCCTGCTGTGAGAGTCTTGGGGATCCCCTGGGTCCAAATCAACCATGTGGTCCCTGGGAGTGCCCTGAGTCTTTTCCTGTCCTGGGGATCCCCTGAGTCCATCCCAACCATAGGATCCCTGGGGTCCCCTGGGTCTCTTCCTGCTGTGAGAGTCTTGGGGATCCCCTGGGTCCATATCAACCATGTGGTCCCTGGGAGTCCCCCAGCGCTTTGTCAGCCCTGTTGGTCTTGGGTGCCCCCTGGGTCCATCTCTGCCATGGGATCCCTGGGTGCCCCCTGGCTCCATCTCAGCCATGGGGTCCCTGGGGGTCCCTTGGTCCCTCCTAGCCCAGGGGTCCCCTGTCACGCTGCCTCCACAGGCAAGCACTGGGGGTCTGTGCGGCGCTTCGCAGCAGCCGTGGGCCGGTCCCTGCTGGAGGCCCAGCGCGGGGAGGCCGAGGAGGCCGAGACGGTGACAGCCATGGCCCTGCTCTCGGTGGGCACTGAGCAGGCTGGAGGAGACCCCCAGCCCAGGTATGGCCCCGGGGACCCCGTTGGGTGTGCAGGCACACGGGTCATTGGGTGGGACATGTGTGTCACTGGGGTGGGTGCATGGAGCCATGTGTCATTGTGGAGAGGGACACACGTCCCTGGGATGTGCATGTGGCCACATGCGTGTGTGTTCAGGGGGGACACATGTCTCTGGGGTGAGCGTGGAGCCACATTGTGTCATGGGGGAGCTGCATGTTCCTTTGGGGTTGTGCACAGATCCATGTATGTCCTTGGGGGACATGTGTCCCTGGGGGTATGCAAGTCCTGAGGGCTCTGTATGGAGTCACAGGTGTCCCCTGGGCTGTGCATGGAGCCATGTGTGTCACTTGGGGGGGCTGCACGTTCCCCTGGGGTGTACATGGAGGCATGTGTCGTCTTGGACACGTGTGTCCCCTGGGCTGCATGGAACTACATGTGTCCTTGAGGGACACATGTGTCCCTGGGGGTATGCATGGAGCCATGTGTGTGTGTGTCATTGGGGGGGCTGCATGTTCCCATAGGGCTGTGCATGAAGCCTTGTGTGTCCTCTTGGATGTGTGTCCCAGGGGCCACGCATGGAGCCTTGTGTGTCCTCTTGGAAATGTGTGTCGCTGGGGCTATGCATGAAGCAGGTGTGTCCTGGGGGTGGGTGACAAACACGTTTGTCCTGGGGGTGGGGGACGCACATGTGTCCCCCTGCCTTGGCATGTCCTTCCCCTTCCCAGGCTGGCAGAGGAGCCAATGGAGGCTGAGCCCACGCTCTGATGCACCCAGATCGTTCCCGCCTCCAAAAAACCAAGAAACACCCAAAAGAGATGAAAAAACACACACTCACAGAGAAAAAAATCACAGTAAAAGGGAAAAAAAAAAACAAACAACAAAACACTTAAAAAAAAAAAGACAAAAAAAAGGACAAAAAAAAGACAAAAAAAAAAAGGCAGAAACCAGAACAAAAATAAGAAAAAAGAGGAAAATATTTTCTTTTTCTATTAAAAAGAGGAGAAAACCACAAAAAAAATCTCCCCCACCCGTCCTGCGCCCTTTCCCCCCCCGCCCAGCTCTCCCGCGGTGTTTGCAGTCATGTCTCTTGTGCAGCAGCAGTTCCACCAGTACCACCCCCTCCCAGCCCGTGTCCGTCGGGTCCCCCCTGTCGCTGCCTGGACCCCCCTGGGGCTCATCTCTCTTTTTTTTTAGGGATTTTTCCTTATATCCCCTCCTATTTTTTTGTGTGTCCTCTGCTTTGTTCCCTCCCCAGCTCCAGCATTTGTCACCCCCCCTCCCCCTCCAACCCCATCCCCAGAGGAGGCAATGGGAAATATTTGTGCCTTTCATTATATTTTTTTTTAATGCCTTAATTTCCCTTAATTTTGGGTTTTCTTAATTTTCTTCTTGGGTTTTTTTTTTTTTCCTCTCGGTCTCCCTGTTTGGGACAGGGACATAAAACAAAGGGATGAGCTCTGTGTCCCCCCCACCATCCCTTTGCCACCCCTTTGTTGGGATCAAATTTGTTCTTAGAGGAGGAAAAAAAAAAAAAAAAAAAAAAAAAAAAAAAAAGAGGAAAAACCACTTTATTTTCCAGTTTTGTCACCAGCTAGAGTGGCCTCGGAGTAATTTTAGCTTTAAAAGAAAACCACTCAAACCCCACCCCCCCAAAAAAAGGGATATAATTTTATTACAGATTATTTAATAGTATTTTTTTAATGGGGGAGTGGAGGAGGGGACAGGGACAGCACGTCATGAGTTATTTTGGAGTGGGGGATCCCCAGATTAGGACAGAGGGATGAGCGTGTCCTTGGTCACCTCTCCTAACCCTGAGTTGGGGGGGAAGGACCCCAGTTTAGAGTGAGGAGGGGGGGCATGGGGGTGTGTTACTGTGGGGACCCCAGTGTGGGTGTACCCAGTGTTGGGGACACCCTGTGAGGGGGGGGGGTCCCAGATCCCCATCCTGGGAAGAGGAAACAACCCCGGAATGGGGGGAAAGGGGGTGCCACTCCCAGCAGGGTGCCCAGCTTGCTTTGAGCTGGTGTCCCCCCCACCCCCATGTGCCCCTGCCGTGCTCCCCCCTTCGGTTTCTGTCCATCCCCCTCCCCCCGCTCAAGCTCGCTCTGGGTCTCGGTTCAGTATTTTGTAAAATGTCACCAATGTTCGTCCTTGTATAAATAAACTGTTTCTGGCAATACCCGCCGGCCCCTGCTGCCTTTGGGGGGTGGAGAGGGTCCCCCTGTGTCCCCTTTCCTGTCCCCCTGTCCCTTTTCCCATCCCATTCCTGGCCCTGTGTCCCTGTTCCCATCCCTTGCATATCCCCAAGGCTTCCTGGTGTCCCAACGTGCTTCATTTTCCTCAGCAACGGGGCCAGGGAGGGGACCAATGTGTCCCCCCCCAGCACGTCTGGGGGGTTCTGCCACTCCCCAGTGTGTGTGTGTGGGGGGGGGTCCCCCTCCCAGCCCTGCCCTGGGGACCACCCAGCTCTGCCTGTGCCCTCCCCTCCCATGTTTGCAGGACTCAGGCCCGGTGGGTTGGTTTTGGTGCTTTATTTGGTAAGAAATGAGGTGACCCCCCTGGTGATATAAAGGGGGCTCCCGGCTTGGGTAGGGGGATCCCATCCCTGCTCCAGACAGGGGAGAACTGGGAGAACTGGAGCAGCTGGAGGTGTGTGGGGGCAGGGGTGGCAGGTTAGTGACCCCTGGGCTGGGACTGTCCCTGTGCTGCATCCCCAGACCTGCTGGGCACAAGGCACCCCCAGCTCTGCCCTCCCAGGGGGTCCTGCTGCCCGGGAGAGGAGAGACAGGGCTATTAGTGCTACAACTGGGGGGGCCTAAGGGGGTCCCCATGGCCTTAAGCCACCGGCGATAGGCAAAGCAAAGGGAAGAGCCGGGACAGGGGGCGGGAATCAGCAGAACGGGGTGGCAGTGTAGGGGGGTGGTCCCTGGGGACGAGTGAGGATAAGCAGGGACCCCCTACTCAGTGAGGGGGTCCCCGGGGGTGGGTGAAGGTGAGGATGAGTTGGGAGAGGTGCAGGGACCCCCAGCTCGGCACTGGGGGGTTCCTGGGGGGCAGGTGAGGGCAAGGATGAACCGGGACAGGAGGGGATCCCTACTCAGTGGGGGAGGGGTCTCTGGGGTAGGTGAGGATGAGCAGGGACCCCCTTACTCAGTTTGGGGGATCCCCAGGAGTGGGTGAGGATGAGCAGGGATGCCCCTTCTCAGGTTAGGGAGTCCCTGGGGACAGGTGAAGGTGAGGATGAGCCAGGGCAGGAGTGGGGGCCCCAACACAGTGTGGGAGGCTCCCTGGGGGCAGAAGATGAGGATGAGCCAAGGGCAGGGATCCCCCTACTCTATGAGGTTGAGAACAAACCAGTATGGGGCGGGGGGAGGCCTAATTGGTGCTGGGGGATGTTTGGGGGGGCTCAAGGAAGCTCCTGAGGGCGATGACGAACCGGGGCAGGACGGAGACCACCAGGAAGGGCCCAGCCGCATAGTGCACAACCACGTGCCTGTACAGGGCAGCCGCGTCTGAGGGCCTGGGCAGCCTGTGTACCAGCTGCAGGGCCAGCAGGGCCAGCGCCGTGCTTGCCACCCGCAGGCGGCCATCCTGGAGCTGCTCCTCGTCCCGGTGGTGTGGAGGGGTCTCGGCAGCCAGGGCCAGCCCCAGGGCACTGCCCACCACCCGGCACAGCGAGGCGAAGGGCCGCGTGTCCAGCCGCAGCCACGCCGGGTCTGAGCACCAGGCGCTGGCCAGGTGGAGAGACCTGCGGGAGGAGCTCCGTGGTTGGTGTTCACCCCCTGGCCCAAGAAGGGGCTGTGGGTAGGTCTTTGGGGTAGCCCCCTCCTCAAATGGGGTGGGGGTAGGTCAGGGTGGATCCTGACAGTCTGGTGGGCAGATCCCTGGGGATAACACTCCCCCTTTCCCAAATGTCTGGGGGCAGATCCCTGGGTATAGGACCACGCCCCACCTCACAAAAACTGTACGGGGCAAATCCCTGGGGTTAGTTTCATCCCAAAATGGTCTGGAGGCAGACCCCTGGGGATAGTATGCTCCCCAGAAAACAGTCTGGGGTAGATCCCTAGCACTGTTCCCTCCAATAGCCTGGGCATAGATCCCTGGGAATAATCACCCTCCACCCTGAGGGGTTGATCCCTGGGAATACTCCCCTCGATCCTGGAAGGCTGATCCCTTGGAATACCCCCCTCCACTCTGGAAGGCTGATCCCTGGGGATACCCCCTCCATCCTGGAAGGCTTTTCCATGGGGATACCCCTTTCCACCCTGGAAGGTTGATCCTTGGGGATACCCCCCATCTCCCAGGGCACTCACCAGTCAAGGTCGATGCCAGCAGCCGTGGCCAGGCTGTGCAGGGCCAGCGCACTCAGCATCAGCGCCACAGCCACCGCCACAAAGAACCGGAACACGCGGAAGTTGGGGGGACAGCGCTGCAGCCCCCACCCCAGCGCCGACCCTGGCACAGGGGACAGGCAGGTTAGGGACTGGGATGGACTGGGAAAGGGGCTCGAGTGAAGGGGAAGGTGCCCACAACGCCCTGAGCCAAGGTGGGGTGTTGGGACGTGTTCCCCCCCCCCTCACCTGCCAGGATGCCGGTGACCACCTGGTGGGGGAAGTGAGCCAGGACGAAGATCCGGGAGAGCCCCATGGCCACAAGGAAGAGGGTGTAGGCAAATAATGGGATCAGCCTCAGCACTCGGCTGAAAGGGAATTGGGGTCAGTGGTGGAGGGAGGCAGCCCCTGGCTCCGGCCAGGCAGGGCAGGATTGATCCCACCCAGCAGCAGGAATGGGTGAAGCAGAGGTGAAGGCGGCAAGAAGTCTCACAGCCTCTTCCCAAGCTGCCAGGGGAGGGATGTGTCCCCCTGGAGCTGCCCCGCTGGGAGAGGAAGGGATCCAGCCCACGAGGGGTCCCACATCCCACCCCTCTTTTCCCAAAGGTGCTCTGGAAACTTCCAAGCATTGCTTTCCCCATCCTAGGGCTCATCCTGCCCACCTCCCTCTTCCCAAAGATGCTCTGAAAGCTTCCAAACAATAGTTTCCCCATCCTAGGACTCATCTTTCCCACCCACCATGGGTGCTGTCCACCAAGGAGGGGTCCCACATCCCACCTCCCTCTTCCCACAGGTGCTCTGGAAGCTTCCAAGCTCTGGTTTCCCCATCCCAGACTCACCCTGCCCACTTAAGAATGGTCCCACATCTCGTCTCCCTCTTCCACAGGTGCTCTGGAAACTTCCAAGCAACAGTTTCCCTATCCTAGGACTCATCCTGCCCAACCCCCGTGGGTGCTGCCTGCCGAAGATGGGTCCCACATTCCATCCCCTCTTCCCACAGATGCTCTGGAAGCTTCCAGGCACTGCCCACCACAGACTCACCTCCGGGTGCTCCGGGCCACCTTGGCTGTCAGCGCGGTGACAAGTGGCCACAGGGCCGCCCCGGGGATCATGCAGTGGCCCGAGGGGCTCCCTGGGTGGGGGGAAGCACATGGAGGGTCGGGGGGAGCTTGTCCCAGCGGGATGAGAGCTGGGAATGTCGAGCCTAACCCCTGCCTGTGCTCGGGGATCCCTCCAGGCTGGGCCTGGAGGCTCAGGGATGGGGATGGAGCTAGTGCCCAAAAATCCAGGCATGTTTACAGGGAGCCCAGGTGGAGCAGTGCCATTCCCAGACTCTCCCGTGGGTTTCCTAGCCCTGGAGCCACCGGGCTCTGCCAGCACCGGCAGCGTCCTACCCACTCCCTGCTGCTCCCTTGTATTTCCTGGTCGAGGAATGGCTTTTCTCGCTTCCAGCTCGGCATTCCTCCCTAGGGATCACCAGGTTGTCCGGCTGAAAGGGAACGAGGCTTCACCTGTGACTCACCTGGGCCCGTTTCGCAGGTGACCGGGAACTGACGCAGCGGGAACTTCTCCAGCTCCTCGCGGGAGAACAACCCAGACTCATGGATCCACCAATACGGGCGTTCCCCAAACAGGAACCTGGACGGATGGAAAACAAGGAGCATTCCCGCCCATCCCAGGGGATCCGGGAGGGCAGAATACCTGCCATCGATTGCGGGGGATCCATGAGGGCAGGATCCCTGACATCCATCGCAGGGGATCCATGAGGGCACAATCCCTGCCACCCATCCCAGAGAATTGAGAAAGGCAGGATCCCTGCCACCCATCCCAAGGTATCTGGGGATTTGGGAAGACAGAATCACTGCCAATTATTCTTGGATTTCCAGGGATGAAGCGACAGTGAGATGGCAGGATTCCTGCACCAATCTTGAGGGATCCACGAGGGCAGGATCCCTGCTACCCATGCCATGGTATTGAGGATTTGGGAGGGCAGGATCCCTGCCAATCATCCTGGGATTTCCAGGGATGAAGCCACAGTGGGAGGGCAGGATCCCTGAGCCCATCCCAGAGGACTGGGAAAGGCAGGATCCCTGCTACCCATCCCAGAGGACTGGAAAAAGCAGGATCACGGCCACCCATCGCAGAGGATTGCGAAAGGCAGGATCCCTGCCACCCATCCCACAGTATCTGGGGATTTCAGAGGGCAGAATCCCTGCCAACCATTGTGGGATTTCCAGGGACAAAGCCCCTGAAGGAGAGCAGGATCCCTGCCAGTCCCGATGCCTCCCAGGGTTTTCCCTGCCAGGAATTCCTGGCAGATGCCTGGGGCAGCTCGGATGACCCTGCAGAATGCCACAGGGACTCTGTGCCCAAAACTCCCGTGAGTTTCCCTGAGCTGTGTCCCCGTGCGAGTGCCACCGCAGTCCCACCTCCTCACCATTTGAGCACCACGTTGAGCCACTCAGCCACGAGCCCAATCCAGAGCACCATGAGCCCCACCTGGGCATCCAGCCCATGGGCCAGTGGGAAGCAGAAGGTATAGATGGATTTGGGATCGAAGTGGGACGTCAAGTAGACCCAGAACTGCTCCAGCCAGGGTGGTCCAGCCTGCAGGGCCAGGGCTGCCCAGATCCCGGCCTCGTGCAGGGCATCCATAGCAACCGGCTGGTACATGGGGACAGAGGTCAGCCTTGGCACAGATCCCTCGGGAATTCCCCTGGGAAGGGGCTGGGAGGTGGCTGGATACTGAGGAATCTCTTGGGAAGGGGATGGGAGGTGGCTGGATCCCTCAGGATTCCTTTGGGAAGGGAGTGGGAAGTGAATGGATCCTGGGGGATGGGATGTCTTGGGAAGGCAGTGGGAGGTGGCTGGATCCAGAGGAATCCCTTGGGAAGGGGATAGGAGGTGGCTGGGTCCTGAGAATTTCCTTGGGAAGGAGCTGGGAGATGGTTGGATCCCAAGGGATGCCTTAGCAAGGATTCAGGGAGTCATTCACCACCTGAAGTTTGCCCACAAGGGATTCCCAAACTTCTGCTCGGGGGGTCCTGGCAGAGCAGACCGGGGGGTCTGGGATGTGGGCCAGGACAGGATCCCAGGGGATTCCTGTGGGAATTGCTGGAGCAGCCAGGCTGCTCCAAAGAGCCCTAATCTGCCTGGGGACTCCTCGGGGTCTTCCCTTGGAACATTCCCTAGGGTCATTCTGGAGCAGGCCTGGGGTCTTCCCTGAAGCCATCCTGGGGCCTCTTTGGGGCCTCCCTAAAGCAAGTCTGGCGCCTCCCTGGGCTCCCTTTGGGGGTCTCTGTGGAGCAGGACTAGGATTTTCCAGAGACTTCCCTGGAGCTGACCTGGGGTCTCTTTGGGGTCTCTCTGTGGTCTCCCTGGGGTCTCTTTGGGGTCTCCCTAAAGCAGGCCCTGGCTCTCCCTAGGTTCCCTTTGGGTTCTCCCTGGTGGAGAGGCCTGGACCCTCCCAGGGTTCTCCCTGTCTCAAACCCCGGGGTCTCCCCGAGGCCTCTCTGGGGTCTCCCCGGGCCTCCCTTGGCCCCTGAGGTCCGAGGCCTCCCCGGGGTCCCCCTCACCCCAGACCCGCGGCCTCCCCATTGCCCGCAGGACCCTCTGAGCCGCCCTGCCGCTCTCCTAGTCGCTCCCCGCTCACCCCGGTGCGGTCGGGTGGTACCTGCCGGGAGGTCTCCATGGAGGGGGGACCCCCCAAACCCTCCCTCCCGCTGCTCTCACCGCCCCTCTTCCGCCTACAACTCCCGGCGTCCCCCACAACACCACGCGCTGACAGCGGCGCGGGCGGGCCAAACAGAGCCGGGTGCGGGGGGAGGGGGCGGCACCCCGTGGGCGCTCGACCAATCACGAGGCGGGGCGGAGCAGATCGGCGGGGCGGAGCGCCAATCCCCACCCTCGTCGCCCAGGCGGCCCCGCCCCCCGCCGCGCCTGGGCCGAGGCGAGCGGAGCCGCGGGCGCTGCGGGCGGACAAGATGGCGGCGCCGGGCGAGTACTTCAGCGTGGGCAGCCAGGTGTCCTGCCGCACCTGCCAGGAGCAGCGCCTCCAGGGCGAGGTCGTCGCCTTCGACTACCCCAGCAAGATGCTGGCGCTCAGTATCCGCCCGCCTGTGTTTCGTCCCAGTGGTCCCCGGGCCCCCGCCGCGGCCCGCCCGGGCCTCTGCGGCCCGCCTGATATGATGGGGGGGCGGTGAGGGAGGGAGGGGAAAGAGGAGGGGAGGGATGAGGGTCTGAAGGGATCGAGGTGGGCGGCGCTGGGGAGGGGTTTGGGGGAGCGAGGAGACCCTCGAGGGGGGAGTGGGGGAGGGTTGTTCTCTCGGGTTTCTAAGGGGGGGAATGGGGAACGCTGTATTAGGGTGAAGGGGGTGCCCTATGGAGGGGTTTCGAGGGGGAGTGAGGAGCCGCTTATTGGGGCGAATGGGGGGTGTGAGGTGCCCTGTTTTGGGGTGAATGGGGGGAGTCCTATGGGGTTTTTTGAGGTGAGTGAGGAGCCTTGTATTAAGATGAATGGGGGGGTGTGAGGAGCCCTGTTTTGGAGTGAATGGGGAAGCGGGGTGTCCTATAGGTTTTTTTTTGGGAAGGAATGGGGTGATTTGTGTTGGGGCGAAGGGAGGGAAAGGGGGTGCCCTACAGAGAGTTCTTTTGGGGGAAATGGGGTGTCCTGTATTGGGGTGAATGGAGTGAGTGTGGTGTCCTATAGGGTTTTTTTTTTTTGGGGGGGGGGAATTGGGGAGCCCTGCATTGGGGTGAATCAGGGGTGGGGTGGCCTATAGAGTTGTTCTGGGGGGAATGGGGTGTTCTGTATTGGATTGAATGGGCTTGGCAGGTTTTGGGGAGGGTGAAGAGCCTCTGTGAGGTTATTGGGAGAGGCACCATACAGGGAGGGTTTTTTGGGGGGAGTGATGAACCCTGTACTGGGGTAAATGGGGCAATGTGAAGAGCCCTATATTGGGGTTAAGAGGGGTGTCATATAGAGGAGGTTTTGGGGGGATTGAGGAGCCCTGTTTTGGGGGGAGTGGGGTGTCCTTTGGAGTTTTTTTGGAAGGGAGTGGGGAGCCCTATATGGGGTGAAAGGGGGGAGAGAGGAGCCCTGCATTGGGGTGAATGGGGGAGTCAGGTGCCCTCTAGGAAGGTTTTTTGGGGGAAATGAGGTTGAGAGGGGGGCAGGGGGATGCCCTATAGAGAGGTTTTTGGGGGGGGGAGTGGGGTGTTTTTTGGAGAGTCCTTTAGTAGGGTGAATAGGGGAGAGTGGGGAACCCTTTAGTGGGGTTATTGAGGCGAAGTGGAGTGTCCTATTGAGGTTTTTTTGGGGAATGGGGCACCTGGTAGGGTAGTTTTGGAGGGAGTGAGGAGCCCTTTAGTGGAGTTACTTTGGGGGGGAAAGTGGTGGTGCCTTATAGTGAGGTTTTGGGAGACTCAGGAGCTCCAGAGTGGGGTTATTGAGAAGCCCCCCAGTGGGGTTTTGGGGGGGTGGGTGCCATGTAGGAGGGTTCTGAGGGATCCTTGTAGGGGATTTGGTGGGGATGTAGCTCCATAAGGGCGTGGAATCAGGGGTTTCCCACAGGACTGGAGGGGTTTTGGGGGGAGACGGGCACCCTGTGGGGTTCAGGGAGGAGGCAGGAGGCAGATTTTGGAGCCCTGGGGGGTTCCTGGAAGGGGTTGGGGACCTGTTTTGGGGTGCAGAGAGGGCACAGAGGTGTGGTTGGCAGGGCCTGGGGGGACCCAGGGAGAATGGGGGAGGCCTGGAGGGGTGGGATCCCATAGGAAGAGGGTCAAGACACCCCTGTGGGGTATTTAAGTGGAGGCAGAATGAGGTCTGAGGGTTGGGGGGGCTGAGGGGTGTAGGAGGAATTTGGGGACCCCAGTGGACTCTCCAGTGTGCTGGGAGAAGACCTTGGGAAGTGAAGGGGATGGGGGGGTTGGTGGTGCTGTGGCCCCCCCATACATGTATTTGGGTATGCTTTTCTTTGGAATCTGCAAGGATGGGAAAAGCCAAGGCTATTGGAAAACCATGGAGAGACCGTGGAGAGGGGAAAAAGGGGATTCCCAGCCCCAGGACTGGGGTTGGAGTTCTGAGAGCCCAAGGGTGGGTTCCAGAGGGAATGAGGGGCTGGTAGAGGGTTTTGTGGCAGAAGCTGTGGGAAATATGATGGAAAAAGCCTCCCTGGGTGCCTGGGATGTGGTTGGAGTTGGAGGAGCTCCCAGATCCGACAGAGTGCAACAGAAAAATCCAAGAGGACTTTCAACAGGTGTCTCAGTGCTGCTGGTCTGCTCCAGAGGTGGCTGAGTGCTCCCCTTCTGGCTTTTCCCTGAGCCTGGCTCTTCCTCATCCCAAAACGGGGATGCTCCAACTCATCCCCCTGAAGGGGAGAGACCTGAATTCCGTGAAGGAATTCCCTGGCATCCCTTGCTTTCTCCTCATCACTGAATGCATTTTTTAAGGAGGGCTCCACCTTGGGCTCACCTGGGGCTGGGAGAGAGGAACAGGGACTTCCACAAGGATCCCTTCCATGAGGAGATGGTGTTGGCATGGAAGAAACTCTCCATGCTGTGCTCCCTTCTCTGTCCATCCTCATGGAAACAGGTAGTGCAGGAATCCATGCAATCCATGAATTGTCAGCTCTAGAAGGGAGTGGGTTTTTTGGGGGTTGTTTGCAACAGCGATACCAACCTCATGTATGGGGGCAAGGAGGCCTTTGCTGTGAATTCTTTTCCATCTGGGTGAGGGAATACTCCTCTGGATGAGGGAATGCTCCTCTGGATGAGCCACTTCTTGCCAGAGGAAATATTCTGGTGTAAAAAGTGCAGATTTGGTGATGCTGGTTCAAACCAGTGACCAGGCTGTGCTGGGTAGGGCTGGAAAACTCAATCTGGAGTCAGGAAAACTGGGATCAGCATTAAATAGTGCCAGAAAGAGACGTGTGGCTTTCCTGGGATCACAGATGACCCCAAGCTTGGCTGGGCAGGGACATGGGAGTGGAGGAACTCACTGGGAACCCAGCCTTCTCCTGGTTTGCTCCTGGGCTCTGTCAAGCCCATAAATACCTCCCTCTGTATTTGTTTTCCTTAATTTTTTCACTTCCAGAATGCCCTTCTTCCAGTGGGAAGCCCAACCACGCAGACATCCTGCTCGTAAACTTACAGTATGTGTCAGAAGTGGAAATAATCAATGACCACACGGAAACGCCTCCCCCCTTAGCTTCCCTCAACGTCAGCAAGGTGAGGGGGGCACTGGGAAGGAAAATCCCTCCTCCCACTGGAATCTGGGGGAAACTGGGCACTGGAACTCACCTGCTTCCATCACAACTGCCTGTAGTTCCGTTTGGGGTCTGGGTTGTCGGTGGGTTTGGGGTCTGGGTTTTCGGTGGGCTTGGGGTCTGGGTTGTCGGTGGGCTTGGGGTCTGGGTTTTCGGTGGGCTTGGGGTCTGGGTTGTCGGTGGGCTTGGGGTCTGGGTTGTCGGTGGGCTTGGGGTCTGGGTTGTCGGTGGGCTTGGGGTCTGGGTTGTCGGTGGGCTTGGGGTCTGGGTTGTCGGTGGGCTTGGGGTCTGGGTTGTCGGTGGGCTTGGGGTCTGGGTTGTCGGTGGGCTTGGGGTCTGGGTTTCGGTGGGCTTGGGGTCTGGGTTTCGGTGGGCTTGGGGTCTGGGTTTCGGTGGGCTTGGGGTCTGGGTTTCGGTGGGCTTGGGGTCTGGGTTTCGGTGGGCTTGGGGTCTGGGTTTCGGTGGGCTTGGGGTCTGGGTTTCGTGGGCTTGGGGTCTGGGTTTCGTGGGCTTGGGGTCTGGGTTTCGGTGGGCTTGGGGTCTGGGTTTCGTGGGCTTGGGGTCTGGGTTTCGGTGGGCTTGGGGTCTGGGTTTCGGTGGGCTTGGGGTCTGGGTTTCGGTGGGCTTGGGGTCTGGGTTTCGGGATTTTGGTGGCTTTGGGGCCTGGGTTTTAGGGTGTTTGTGGCCTGGATTTTGGCATTTTGGGGTCTAGATGATGATATTTCAGGGTCTGGATTTTGGGCATTTTGGATCTGGATTTTGGGATGGTTTGGGGCTTGGATTTTGGAACTGGTTTTTGGTATTCTGTGTCTAAGGTGATGGGTGTTTTGGGGCCTGGATTTTGGCATTTGGGATCTAGATGATGGTATTCCGGGGCCTGGATTTTGCCTGTTTGGCTCTAAGTGATGGTTTTTGGGGCCTGGATGAAGCTGGGTGGTGGCACAGCAGACAGAAGGGACAAAGCACACATGGATTTTGAGGAATCCCTGGAATGGGATTGCTGCAGATTCCCAGTGGTGGTGTCAAAGAAAGGCAAGGTGACCCCAAGCCCTTGGTGCTGGGATGAGTGCAGGTGTGGGGTCTGGCTTTGGGGGGCTCAGCTGTCACCTCCTCATCCCACAGGGACACCTGTCCCGGTGGTTGGTGTCACACAGGTGGCACCAGCCGGGTGTCTGTCCCCTCCCGATGGATTTACACATCGGAGGAGGTCTCAGGTGACACAGCTGCCACCAAGATGTGACTGTTGGCTGTTACTGCATCCAGTGACATTGCTGGGAGCACAACCTCAGGAGTTTCTCCTCAGGAATTCCAACACTGGTCTTTTCCAGCATCCACATAATTGTGGGGAAGTAAGGGATGGTCGTGTTACAGCCACTGGAGTTACTGCCAATCCAGTGGCAGGGGGGTGGTTCTGGGAGGCCCTGACCTCACTTCTCCTTCCCCATGGACGCACAAGGATCTGGTGTTGCTGCATAACTGGAGTATGGATGGCTGATACTGG